CGGAGTAAATTGACGGCACGAATTCAAAAAAAAAAAAAAAAAAAAAAAAAAAAGAAAGCGTGCGTATGGGAGAGAGAGGCGACGGGCTGCTGAACGAAGCAACAACGAAGAAGAAAAAAAGGAAACAAACAAACAAACAAAAAAAGAAAAGAGAAAAAACGGAACAGGAGGGAGATGGGCGGAATAAAAAAAAAAAAGAAGGGGAAACAAGACAACCCCGAAAAAGAAAGAACAACAACAACAACAAACAAACAAACAAACAAACAAACAAACAAAAGGGAGTAAATATGTAGCAAAAAGAAGGAGAAATGAGGTGCGGAGGGGAGCAACACGGACGGGGAGAGCCCACTTGGACGCTTTTCACCGCGCATCAACACACCCGCGTCTTGTGAGTTCTCGGGAAGTGCACGACGAAGAGAGTGTCTGCGTCTGTGCTTTTTTTTTTTTTTTTGTGTGTGTGTGTGTGTGTGTGTCTGCGCTGCACGGTGCCAAGTAGGAGCAAGTGGGACGGGGGGAGAATGGAAGAAACAATTAGAAATAAAAACGAGGATGTGAATGAAGCGGGGGAAAGGAACCGAAACACGCAGGCAAAATAATAAAAAAATAATAAATAAAAAAAAAAAAATAAGAATAAAAAAAAAATTATGCGGGGAGAGGAGGGTGCTGGCTGCCGGCAAGTAGGAAGGAAATAAAAACATTTTAGGGAAAGGCATACGCACAGGTGTGGGGATGTACATGCGGCAGCAAATACGCACCCTCTTCTTTCCAAAAAGAAAGGAAAAATAAAAAATAAAAATCAGAAAATCATAGAAAGGGCTCAAAACACACAAACAAACAAAAATATATATATGTTGAATATTTTGTGCAGGGTTTTTATTGGGATGGATACATCAGGCATGAAGTGAAAAGGAGAAAACGGTCACTGTACAGATGGTCGTGACCTTCTCTTCCATAATCCTTCTGTTTACTACAGGCAGCAGAGTGGAGATGGAGAGAAGAGGGAAAAGGGGATGATCTTTTTTTTTGTTTTTGTTTCTTTCATTTTTTTTTTTTTTTTGTGTTTGTGTCTCCTCTTAGGGAATT